CCCCTCCAAAAAAAAGTTTTTCTAAAAAATGAGTCCTGTGACCTTAAGCAAGTTATTTAATCTATCTGAGCCTCAGTTTCTCTCAGTGTAGAATAGGAATGATGTGGTACCTCGGTTGAATTAATGCTGCAGTCTTTTTAAATAGCACCCACCACACAGCAAGCGCGTAAGGAATTATTGCTGCCAGTTGTGTTCAACATCCCTGATCTCAAAGATCTTCACAACTGCCCTTTCCAGATCATCCTCCACTTTAAAGGGAAGAGACGGAGACGGCGGAAGCCGCCCCACGCTCACAGTCCTCGTTTATCAAGCAGAGGCCGGAACCAGTTCTGTCAGGCGAGAAGGCCTAGCTGTGCCCAAACATGGTCTCCCCTGCCTGCCTCCCCTCCCACCCAAGCGCACGGAGTTAGAGACCCACACACACGGTGATCCTAGGGGCTTTATTTACAACAGAAGAAGGGCCAGGCCCCACCGGGGCCCTGCTGAGCTATGTACAGGGTCTGGGAGAGGGAGGTGGGGACACAGCCATTTAAATTACAATAGAATGGGGGCAGGCACTGAGGTCCAGGCTGTGGGTCGTCCACTGGAGGCCTCTGCAGGGATGGATGGGCTGAGGCTGCAGAGAGAGGGGAGGAAGGAACAAGGGGGTGACTGGGACCCAGAAGGGGACACAATGCAGGTCTGGGCAGAAAGGCAGGGTGAGGCTGCAGCCACCCCATCCATCCAGGGGAGAGCACTGGAGGCAGAGGGCCCGGGGCTGGCCAGGGAGGAGCGGTACCTCGGCCGCCCCTGGACGCGCCCGGCTCACTTCCTCTTCAGGGAGCCCTTGCTCTTCTCCTTGTCTGCTGACCTCTGCTTCTTCACCTTCTCCTCCTTCTTGTTCTTACTCTGCAGGTTCTCGTACACGTCCTCCTTGTGTCTGCGGGTGGGGTGGATGAGGGTGGCAGTCAGGACACAGGGCGGATTAATCAGCACCAGCAGCCCCCGGGGCCATGCCATCTCACAGGTGGGCAAACTGAGGCCAGGATAGCGACACTAGACTGTCCTGACACTAGACTAGAAGCCCCTAGAGGCAGGAGTTCCATCTCACGTGTCAGTGTACTGCCAGTCCCTGGCACAGGCCCCACCAGGAGGGCGCTCACTTGTGAACACAGGTTGGAAGAACCAAGCTTGAATTCGAACCCCAACCTCCCTGGAAAGGAAGGGTCGGGCTGGAGGTGAGGAAGGAGCAGCTGTGGGAGGCGACAGGCAGGGGCCACTCACTTGGAGGAGGTGCGGGAGGCCGTGGCGTGGGCGTTCTTCATAGCTAGAGGGTAGGTGATGTTCCCATACTCTGACTCCCGGCCCTTCTGGGACTGTGGGAAGAGGTGTGGTGGTTGGGCGGTGGTCCCAGCGGCACCAGGTAATGCCCACTGCCCACCGCGGCCCTGTAAGGCCCTGCTCTGCCCGCACCTGCATGACCTCCAGCTTCTTCTTGGTGGTTTCAATGAACTGGGCGATGGCCACGTAGATGAACTTGTACTGCGCCTCCGTCTGCACCATGCCTGAGCGCTGGGCCCGCACCATCTGGATCGTCTTCTGGATGTCAATGTCACAGTCCAGGCCTGGCGGAAGTGGCAGCAGGATGTCAGGCCCCGGCAGAGGTGGACACGGTGGTGGGGCTGCTCACCCACCCGCCCCCGCGTCCCCCAGAGGTCACCCTCACCTTTGGTGGAGATGCTCTCCATAAGCATGTCGATGACGATGATGGTGCCTGTGCGTCCGATGCCGGCACTGGGGAGAGAAGGGGCACCGCCGTCAGAGGCCTCACCCGCACCTCCACCTCGTGGGAAGGTAAGGGGGAGCCCAGCGCTCAGTGCCAACCAGGGCGGGGCTTAAGGAACTGAGGCTGCAGTGAGATGAGATGCAGGAACCAGGTCACTGGGCAGGCAAGCAGGGCAGAAGTTTGCCCAACTCTGCAGGTCACATCAGCCAAGGGATCTGGGGGGGGAGGGCCTGCCTCTCAAGTGCTTAGACACTGCTCCCCAAACACCCATCACTTTCCTCCTTCCCAGCACCCAGCTCCCCCGCTGCTGCCTGCTTCCACACCTCACTTTGCTCCCTAACCGGGAGTTCCAGGACCCCGTCCCACCTCTGTCTGGCCTGCTCCCCAGGCACTCTGGGCCTCCCCAGCCTGAGCGAGGCTTCCCTCCCGGAATTGAGAGGTCTCTTCTGCAAGGCTCCGTTTCCCTTTTTCTTCAGACCCTGACGGCGGGCGTGCAAGGGCAACCCGGAGACAGCAGTGCACGGGGCCACTGGGCTCAGGAAACTTGGGGGAGCAGTGCAGTAGGAAGTCTCCCTTCTCCCCACCTTCTGCCGCCACCCTTGGGCAAGCAGACCCCAGGAGCCTCAGGACCCCACATAGACCCCAGTCCCACCCCATCGGCGGCTGGGCCTGTCAGGCCAATGCCCTGAGTCGCACTGTCTAATTTCAAACCCAGATTGTCAAAAATAACCCCCCTCACCCACTTCCTTCCTGTAATGTCTAAATAAAGGCCATGGGGATTTCAAGAAATGGGGTGGGGGGGCCACGGGCAACAGGATGGTTCTTGGCAATGGGCCTGCCCCGGGAGGCAGAGTCCCTGAGACAGCATGTGGAGGCACCACCAGACTCAGCCCACACAGCCCTGCCCCAGGATACACAGTGGAAAGAAGGAGGAAGTCCCAGCCCTCACTGCCTGGAGTCACATGGAGAGAGCTGGAAGGGAAAAGGACCAGGCAGATTCCCATTTCCCGTTCCCCACCTGCAGTGAGATATGCAAGCACTAACAGCTCCCTTCTCAAGGGTTTACTGTGTGCCAAACCCAGTGAGGGGGTTCTCACCTAATCTAATCTTCACAGCAATCCTAGGAGATCCTGATTTTACAGACGAGGAATATGAGAGTCAGAGAAGCGAAGTAATTTGTCCAAGATCACACAGCCAGTGAGTGGAGGAGCTGGTATTTAAAAAGGCAGCCTCTGTCCAGGACCCTGTGCCCGCTGTCTCCCACCCACCCAGGCCAGACCGAGCTGGGCAGTCCCGTCTGCGGGACTCTTACCCTCAGGCCTGATGGGATCCCTGCTCCTCCCTGCTGGCCCCTCAACTCCCCACTCTAACAGGAACAGGGTCTCCTGGTCATGAACACGAGGGTCCCCAGTGGAGCTAGTGATGCTTGTGCCCCTCCTGATACATCCCCCCTCCCTGCGCAACCCTGGGGCCGAGCTGGGGGCACTGGCGTGAAGTGAGACACGGAGCAGCAGTGAGGAAGCCTCAGCCTCCCGCCCAGGGCTACAGGTGGAGAAGAGAACAAATGGGGAGCCACACCAATCCCAAGAGGAAACCCCAGCTGGGTAGGCATGTGTGAGAAAACAGGAGTGACCAGGATCTGGGTCTACCGTCCAGGCTCCCCCACCGACCAGCAGTGACCTGGCAAGAGGCCGGGCCCATTTCCGAGTCTGTATTTGACAGAGGTGGACTAGATGGTACATCCAGGGAAGTCTGAGAAGCTACCTCCAGACACAGGATCACAGTGGGCTCGGTTCAAGCTAAGCTCCACCCATGGGTCGGAGCCATCAAGGAACCCAGAAGGGGTGGGGGCCAGGGGAGGTATTAAGTATGTGAATTTCACACTTGTTTGCAGTTTTCTGTAATGTGAATTACAATAGGGCATGGTGCTTACTGAGCCGAATTCACTTGCCAGCTACTACTTCGATTATTATTACTAATGTCATCATTATTATTATTCTCACCTGCAGTGCACAATGATGGGTCCTGCGTGAGGCAGACTTTCCTGCCGCTGGTTGATCTGGTCCAAGAAGCTGAGGACACCCCCAGGCTCGCTGGGGACCCCATGGTCAGGCCAGCTCAGGTACTGGTAGTGCCAGATCTCCCGAACCAGGTCCCCCTGGGCCAAGTGCGTAGGGTTAGTATCCCCTACTCCCATACATGACCTCATTCTACCAAACCGAAGAGAAGAGGTGTAAGGAGGGGCCAGGGGCAGGGGTGGGAGCCACTCACATTGTCCAGCGGGGAGACCTGTAAGGTGCGGAGTTTGTACTCAGCTGTGTCGTGTTCTCCACAGTTGGTTACAGCGTAGGGTCCATAAACACCCTGAGAGCCCACCTCTGGCCAGTATGGGACACATTTGTTCTGAAAAGGGAGGGTGGAGGTGGGGACTGAGGCACCGAAGCAGGACCTGCGCCCCTGGTGCTGGCCCTGTCAGCATCTGATGGATGAATGGGTGAACTGGCTTAGGAGCTAACCTGGGCTCAGCCTGTTACAGGCAGAAAGACCTGCACCTGAAGAGAACCAGGCTGGAGTCACAAATACAAACAAGACACCGCCGGTGCCCCTGTGCCGCCAGGAGCACAGAGAAAGACAGAGGAGCAGGGAACCAGAGCCGCAGAGACTAACTCTCCCTCAAGGCAATGGAAGAAATCAGGAGTGGCTTCACAGAAGAGGGAGCATCTGAGCTGGGTCTTGGAAAATGAGGAGTCTGCCAGGCAGAGATAGTGCAGGGAGAGGAAGTCATCTCCTAGCAGAAATGAGCTCGGGCAGAGGTACGGAAACCTGAAGGGGCCTGGCTGGTTGGAGGCAGCGAGGGCTGGAGGGCAGCCACCAGGCCTTAGTGCTGGGTCTGGGAGTGTGGGAGACACTGAAGGGTTTTCAGAGGGGGCAGCCTGCTGGCAAAGTGATAGCTGGGCGGTGGGGGAGGAGGAGGAGCTGACTTCAGAGAGATTTATGAGGCCCCAGGGACAGGAGGGGCTGCTGCCTGGAGGGGCACGGGTGGGGGCACGGCAGGGGGACACTTTAAGGAGAGAAGCCCCTGGACACCTGGGCCTGGTGGTCAGGTGAGCCCAAGGTGGGAATCAGGGATCCAGAAGTCAGCGTGTACCCAGACCTGATTCTTCAGTTTCCCAATAAGATAGGACCCTTGCCCTCCGAGGTGCCCCAAGTTTCTTTGGCTTAATGGCAGTGGCCAAGCAGTGCTAGGGGTGGGGCGGCGTGGGGCTCGGCTTACCCGGCCCTTCTCCACCTCCCGGGTGGTCATGACGATGACGCGGGTGTTCTCCTGCCAGACCATCTGCCAGAAGTCGTTGACCGTGGCCTCCAGGCAGCCCTGGCTGGCGATGTAGGTCTTAGCGTTCTCATCGGGGCCTAGCAGCTGGTTCTGGGTGCGAGGACAGGGACACACAGGACTGTGAGCCCCTTGCACTCCCACCACCCTCACCCCCACCCAAGGTGCCAGCATGAGTTTTGTCCACATGTCTCTGGGCCCAGCACCACGATGAGTGGGGTCCAGGAGCTCAGCCTCCCTCCCAAGTGACCGGCAGGCACACCAGACCTTGACGTAGTTGGCATTGATGTAGTCGGACCCAGGGATATTACTGTTGCGTCCCTGCAGGATCACTCGGCTGTGGTCGACTGGGGGTGGGCAGAGAGGACAAGAGAAGGGCCTGGGTCAGACCCTTCCTGAGCTCCCAGGCAATTCCTGCCCAGATGCCTTGCGCTCTCAGAGCAGGTGGGCCGGCAGAGGTGGGGCATCTGTATGGGGTTGGGGTGGGATGCAGGCTTCACTGGGAGCAGAGGCTTTTTGGAGGAGGGGAGGTTCTGTTGGGGTGGGGAGTGGGTCCCTCCTTGATCTGAGGATAGAGACCTTATGAGATGGGGGAGGTCGGCTGGGGGAAGGGGGTCTCCTGAGTGAATGGACGCTGCCTGGTGGGGGAGGGCTGGAGGCTGCCCTGGGGAGGGCGCTCACATGGAAGGATGTTCTTGTATCGGTTCTTGCTCTTGTTTTCCGGTCGCTGCCCTTCCAGCCGCTGGTGCAAATTCTTCACCTCTTGCTTCTGCAGACTCTGAGGGGCGAGAGGGGGAAATGGAGCACCAGCCCCTGCAGAGGGTAACTACAAGGGGAGAGGACTTGGGCAGATCAGTGTGAGGGGTGGGGAGAGAGGGGACAGGGTCTGCTCCGGGCCCCACCCACTGTGTCCTGTGGGTCCCCATTCCGCACCTCAAACTCCTCCCAGAAGCCGGCCTTCGCTGTGTCCTCTGACTCCTGCTTCTTGTTCAGTTCCAACACCCGATTCTCAATGTCGGCCGCATTCACCCTCGTGGCGTAGTATGGCTGGGGCATGGGAGGGTGAGAAGTCAGCTGCTTTCTGGTCTCAGAAGCTCACACGTCTCCTTTCGGGGAATGAAGGCGGCAGCCAGGCCCACCCCTCACCTGCCGCAGGTAGACGAAGGCGCCCGAAGCCTCCTCAATCCCCGTCTTCTTGAAATGCTCCACCAGGTCCGTGAGGCTGTCAAAGGTCTCTGAACCACCCACCGTGTAGCGGCCACCCTGAGTGGGGTCAAGTCAGGCCACCTCTCAGGACCCAAATTGCCCTCCCTGGACCCTCAGCCTCCCACCGAAGCCCAGGCTGACCTTCCCCACGGCCCATGCTGTGGGCACAGACGGGCTCCCGACAGGACCTCCACACTGCCTGGATGCCTTACCTCACACATGACCTTGATGTGGGTGACTCTGAGCGGGGAGCCGGGGCCAGCCTTGGGCTGGTCGCTGAGCACAGACAGCACAAAATCTCCAGGCTGGCTGAGGCTCTCACGCACGAGGAATGTCCAGGGCTCACCCTTGGTCTGCAGCAGTGTCTCTGCCTGCCCCCCAGACATGTGGCCATGGTACCACCTAGAGAAGGCAGCATCCAGAAGGTGAGATCTAGGCCAGGGGCAGGCACTGGGCAGACGTTAACAGAGAGGGCAAGGAAATCCAGTCCCCGCCATGTGCAGGCCCCATGCTAGATGTTTCCAAATCCACCACCGTATGTCGGCCCATGACTCTCACAAAAATGCTGAGAGGTAGATACTACCCGTTTTGCAGATGAAGAAACTGAGGCTGGGTGATTGCACATTAACCCAAAGCCCTTGTTGATATGAGGCAAAGCTCAGGAGTTCTAACCTGGTCCACCTCTGAAAGTTTAAGACAAAGGTAGAAAGGTGGGCCAGACCCAGAATATTTGGAGGGCAGAAACCCAGGAAGGGTCTCCGTGAAAGACAGGGCTGGGCTAGGGAAAGAGAGACGCAGACAGAGGCCAAACCACAGAGAGTGATGGGGATGGAGAGACGGAAGTCACAAGGGAGGCGCAATGGGGAGAAGTCCCCCGGGGGGCAGGGAAGGCAGACAACCCCCACTCTGGGTAAAGAGTGGTGTAGGGGCTCTGAGGTGCCCAGGATGATGTCACTCAAGGGGACGCTGGGGCTCAGAGGGGCTCAGTGGGGCTCAGATGGGCAGAAAGCAGAACTAGGACCTTTCCCCAAAGCACACCCCTTCCCAGGAGGAAACTGTAGCCCCGCAATGCCCAGCCCCACAGGAAACCACGTGATGGAAAAAACACAAAACTCCTTCTGGGGAGAGAGTGAGAAGTGAGGTTGTGAGGTTTCCTCAGCCCAAGGACCAGAGGAAGGGGGGCATTTTCCAACCGCAGGAATGGGGGGAAGGAGGGAGGGGGCCAGTCTGTCCCGCCCCATCTCACTCCTGCCCAGAGGAGACTGCAGCTCAGAGACCTCCAGGGTCTCCCACCCTGTCCAGGAGCCCCCCTCCAAGCCACCCTATCCCACTACCCAGGGGTAGGCCAGGGCTCCCCCTGCCCTGGGCAATGGGGAGGGGGCTAACCCTCTTCCCCCAGGCCCCAGGATGAGGAAGTCTCCATGCAAATGTCAGGCTGACCACAGGCAGAGAGCTAGCCATTGAGAGGACAAATGCAAATTCCTGCAGAGGAGAAGGGCCCACTGCCAAGGCCAAGAACACAAGTGGAGGTTTGGAGAAAGAGCCTTCCCCACACACTCCTAGGGTCAGGGGTGAGCCCTGGCCTCCTGGCGTGGGTAACCCAAAGGGCCTCTTGGAGTCACTTCCCGAGTCTGCATTCCCTCTGTCCTTGACCTCTCCCAGCCCCAGTCAGAGCGCAGGCCTCAGGCTCTTCCCCAGTGGGTCTGCTCAGCTCAAGCCTCTTCCAGCTCCATCCACAACCTGCTCCTCCTGTATGGGGTCTCAGGTAACCCATCCTCCTCCAGCAGCCAGCAGAGCAGATCCTGACTGTGGACAAGGAGGAGGCAAGGCCACGAGGAGTTTAAGAGGGTCTGGGTGGGAAATCCCTGTGAATGTTGCAGGGGGGCTGCAGGAAAGGGGCCAGAGGGGTCAGGCACCAAGGAAGTACAGCCACCAGCAAGGTCATCAATATGGCTTCCCTCCTAGAAGAGGAGGCTTCATGTCCACTGGAAAGAGGTCTCCAGGGGTGGGCCTCTAAGCCTTTATTCAGCCGCCATCCAGTTCTAAGTTTCCATCAGTGACTTGAATGAAAGTATTGACGCAAGTTGGGAGGCATGCATCTCAGAAAGATTGAAAACTGACAGAATCAAGGTTCTGAATCCTTTCAACAAGCAATACAGAACTAGCGGACAAGTGCAAGTTGGTTTGGCCTCAGGAGTGTGCGAAAAAAAAAGTTATTCACCTTCCCCCTTTATAGGGGCTGCTAAAATGAGCCTCGGTGTAAGGCTGAGTATTAGTGCCCCCCCCCCGCCTGTGCACGGGGGAGACCACATGGGGAGTAGCTAGCCCGATCCTGGGGGCCTCATCTTTGGAGCTAAAAAGATGGTAGGGAAATGAGTGTTACCCTGCGTCCAGGTTCTAGGCCTCTTACACATGTGACCCTATCACACAGTTTTCAATGGTCTGTGTTCTGGTCAAGGGACTGGTCCAGCTCTACTCAGCCCCAGAGCGCAGACCCACCCCCACAGGGTTGCTGAGCACAGGCACTAAGTGTCCCTATGTTCCTCCTCAACAAGAGCCTCTCACTCTCTTAACCGGTACTGGGGAAGGGAACAGTCACAGGAAGGGAGATTCTGGTCCATGGGAGGAAGAAGAGCTTTCTAACAACAGAGCTGGCCTGCTAGGAAACGTGGCCACGAGGAGTGGCCCTGTCACTAGTAGGGCCTGGGCTGCCGGCCGACAGGGGCCCTGCAGAAAGGCGAGATGACCTTCTGTTCCTCAGGGGTTGATGGGCCCCAGGATCACAGAGAAGAAGGAGGCCCGCTGAGCCCCGAGGAGGAGCAGAGATGGGGAGGCAGGGGCAGCCAGGTCGAGGCCAGGCCCCCTCGACGGGTGGCCGGCCGGCCAGGGTGCACAGCCCCTCACCTCTCGCTGGTGGGGTCCGAGCAGTTCAGCGGGTATTTGAGGTGGATGATGGTGCCATCGCGGTCCTGCAGGACGCCCTGCTGCTGCGTGTAGTACTCCACCAGCTCCGTCAGAGTCGCAAACTTCTCCCCTCCATACAGGTCGTAGAAATCCCCCGAGTTCTGGATCCGAATGTGGGTCACCTGATCCCCCACCCTGCAGGGCATCAAGTGGGGAGGCCAGTGGGTGCAAGAGCCGAGGTGGGGCCGGGGTGGGGGATGGGCGGGGGTCCCGAGCGAGCGTGGAGCGCAGGCAGGGATGGGCGGACACATACAGAGCCTGGGGAACCAGAAGGGGCTGCCAAGTCCTGGCTCCCGCTGGAGCTGAGGCCCACCTACCTGACAGACAGGGAGAAGTCGCCCTGGTTCTTGCGACTGGGCCGAGCCAGGAAGCTCCCGTGGACCCCGCGGCCCTTGAGCAGGGTCTCGGCATCCAGCCCACTGAGGTCTCGGTGGAACCACCTGGGGGCCGGGAAGGCAGTGAGGGGAGGTCCCCTGGGCCCTGGGGCACCTTGCCTCCTGCCTATGGTGGATCCCAGGCCCTTACCTCACCAGTCCGGTGGGGGGGGGGTCCCCGGAGCGGGGGAGGGGATGCAGGCAGCAGCGGGTGCCGCTGAGTCTGGGCAGGCCGAGAATGCTGGGGCAAAGCCTGCGGGCTCGAAGTGCCCAGGCCACCTCGCCGCCCGCGGTCCTGGTTCTGGGGCTGCCACTCCACTGGCCTGGGGCAGCCGGCAGGGCGGGGACAGGAAGGGGCGCGGCCGACCCCTTGGGGGAACTCACTTGTACTTCTCGTTTTAGAGCAGAGCGAGGAGAAGCAGAGCCGGGTGGCAGTGGGGGTGGGGACGGGGCCCACTTCCCACACGTCTGCCATCAAAGGCCTCAGGAGCCTGGCACTGCCACTCCACACCCGGGACGGGACAGCGGCTCACGAACAAGGACTCTGGTGCGCCTCGCCCACTCCGGGAGACGATCGCGCTTGTACTGTGAACCCACACGGTCACCTGCCATCTCTGCCTGCTCCACCAACTGTGTCCACACAGCCTTCTCTGGTCCAAGCCAGTAATAATGGTGATGGTGACATCTATCATTAGTGGAGTGTGACTGTCTACCAGGCACCATGCTTACGTTGTTTATGGCCCTTATCTGACCCGTTCCTCAAAGTAGCCCTGTGTACCAGGTGGCTTCATTACCCCACTTTCCAGGCAAGGAACCTGAGGCTCAGGGAGGGTTGGGAACTCGCCCGGGGTCACACAGTCAGTAAGTGGTAGCGACGGGTTGAAAACCAGACAGTCTGGTTCCAAAGCCAGTGATTTTAGCTACTGTATGCTAGGCCTCCGGGCTTCAAAGAATAGAGGTTGGGAGACTTCAACTGGGGCTGCAGTGGGAGGAAGATTCCCTGATTTTCAAGCCCGTGCAGATGCCCACAGAGGGACAGGTGCCCTGACCCCCGACACACACATCTGAAGAGGTGCCCAGGGGCAGAGGGATGACCCCTGAGCAGCCCTGTCCAGCTGGCATCTCCTCTGCTTCTCATCCTCAGGCTTTGCCTGCCCCCCACCCCCGCCCCAACCCTGCAGTTGGGTGAGGAAAGGAATTGGAGGGGGGAATGCAGACCTAGGGAAGCAGGTGGGAGCAGAGCCGCCAGCCCCTGTGGGTGCATCCACCCTAGGCCTGAGCTATAGGTTCTTGCCAAGGGTCTGGTCTGAATTGGCCAAAGCCCTGGACTCTGACCTGGGGCCTGTCTCCTAGGGCTGGGGGCCCAGGCCCTGCCATGGCTTATTCTCAGGGCTGGTTGGCCTGGAGAAGCCCTAAATACTAAAAGCTCATGATACTTCCAGTAATTCCAAATGCGAACACAAGCACCACCAAACCAAAGCAGGAGGAAAGAAGCCCAACCAAAGACTGAGGAGAAACTCCTGCAGCTGGCTTCCCTCGGGCAGGGGGCTGGGCGGCCGGAGGAGAGGGCTGGGAGGGACGTTCCCTTCTCCTCTCCACCTTTCTGAAGGTTATATTATGGGCATGCATTGCCTTTATAAAAATAAAGAAACTAGGAGATGGCAATTTCTGGGACACTTCTGGGGGCTGGGAATGCTCTACGTCGCGATCGGGGTGGTGCTATACACAGATGTCAGTGAATGCGATGATCACCAGGCTGTATGCTCAATATTCACATGTACGCTATGCCTCAGAAAAAGTAAGGAAAAGTAGGAGGTGGGTATAGCTCGATGGTAGAGTGCATGCTTAGCATGCATGGGATTCTGGTTCAATCCCCAGACCTCCATTAAAAAAAAAGAGAGAGGGAGAAAATAAATAACAAAGTGTTGAAGCCCAGCAAAAGTGTATTTTTCTTATAATGACTTTATCATTTTTTTGAAACATCAAACATCAATTTCCCTGCCCCCAGAAAGGGCTACATTCTCTCCCTCTTTCTGGTGCCCTGGGGACATTGCTTGGTCTGTTTATTGCACACTGACTACCTTCAGTCTTGGACAGCTGCCCTGAAAGACCATGAGCTCCCACCCACAGCAGGGGGCAGGAAGAGTGTGGGCACAGTCGCCTCTACCACAGTGGGGTCCACCGCCAGTCTGGCTCACCTCCAAGCTGTCAAATTTTAGCACGATGACACACACAGAGTATATGTCCAATAAACAAGCTGCTAAGTCCCCATGCACATACATGGTCACAAGCCCAGCCAGGCCCTGCATGTCCACACCCTGTTTGTCAAATACACACACAAGCATCACTTATGCACACACAGTCCCACCACATACACTTCATCATCCATGTCCATCTACACACAGACCTGCAAATAACCACACATGGACCCAGCATCCCAACCACACATGAAGTTGCAGATCCATGCTCGGCACTAAACACCCGCTGCACCCTGGCCACAGGCCACTCTCCTTCTGGGGCTTAAACCACTCAGAAGGGAGAAACTACTAGCCACCCAGAAACTCCTGACCATGATAGAGGCAGGAATTCCTCTGAAAGACGTCAAGCCAGAAGATGAACACTAAGGTGTACAGTCTCTGCTGTCCCTTGTCGGGAAAATAAATAATAACCATGACACACAGGCTCCGGAGTTTGCAGAGCACATGCACACACACAATCCCATCTGGGCCTCGAACATCCCTGTGATGTGGGAGTTAAGTTCCTGATTCCTTTTTTAAGGGAAAGAAAACAGGCTTGAGGAAGCCGGGAGTTGCAAAAATAAGTGCCTACTAATTCAGAAGAGAAAATTCTTCACCTGGGAAGCAAGGAAATAAAGGGAGAGGTGGAGCTCAATGATGATGTGGAAAGACAGGCAGTCTGGAAGCACAAAGTGAAAAAATCGCTGGAAAGTTACTGAAGTTCTCCTCGCCTCAGGATCCCTACCTGATAAATGGGCTTAACAAGATTGCCCAAATGCTGCCAAAAAAAGCTAATAGAAAATAGACTTTCAGCACAAACAGCTTTCATGTGATGTTATTAATCCACATGCCAACCCTATTTTGTACGTCTTGCTAGCCCAATTTTAGAAACAAAAACTAAGGCTCAGAGAAGTTACTTGCCCAAGGTCACAAGCTAGTGAGTGGGAAGACGACAAACCAAGGCTGTGTGACACCAGAGTCTACTGCCCTTCCCACCACACCACCTGCTGCTGCAGGAAGAGGTGGGCCCGGGGCACAGCCCACAACGGAGGCCAGAGGGGCTGGTGCTCTGGCAGACCCAACATTGGCCAGGGCACCCAGATGGCAGGCCCAGGATGCTCTGAGCAGAGCACTGTGGCAGAGCTGAGCTGCTGAGAGGCTGGGACCCATGGCAGAGGGTCTCACAGGGACCAGCTGAGCAAACCAGGAAGGATTCTGTACCAGGAGAGGCCTGGCCAACTGTCTGGCAGGAAAATGATGGAGGCAGGTGTGTGGAAGGGATCAGAGACCAGAAGACTGGCTGAGAACCCTGTCATCAGGGCTGAAGGAAAAAACCCGTGCACTTGGGGGAGGTAGGGCACACGGAAAGGAAGGGCAGGTGTGAGAGTGAGAAGCAAGGACCTGAGGATTTGAGGGCGACCAACCTTCCAACTCACCAACCCTCCAAGCTGGTCCTCACTGGAATATCCAAACTCCAGCAAGGCAGGGAGGGTATAGCTCAGTGGCAGAGCACATGGTTAGCTTGCACAAGGTCCTGGGTTCAATCCCCAGGACTTCCATCAAAATAAATAAATAAACCTAATTACCCCCCCCAAAAAAAGACCT